TAAATTTTGGAGATTGAGCCCTTATCTGAAATATCATTGGCAAATATGTTCTCCCATGCAGTGGGCTTTCTTTTTGTTTTGTTGATGGTTGCTTTTGCTGTGCAGAAGCTTTTTATTTTGATGTAGTCCCATTTGTTTGTTTTCTCCTTAATGTCCATTGCCCTAGGAGCTGTGTCTGTAAAGATATCGCTACGACATGTTTGCTATTTTGCTGACTATGGAGTCTTGTAGGATTTTTATGGTTTCCCATCTTACATTTAAAGTCCTTTAGCCATTTTGAGTTTGTTTTTGTATATGGTGTAAGTCGGCAATCTAGTTTCATTTTTTTGCATGTATCAGACCAAATTTTCTAGCACCATTTATTGAAGAGACTGTCTTGACTCCATTGTATGCTCTTGTCTCCTTTGTCAAATATTAATTGAGCATAATGGCTTGGGTCGATTTCTGGGTTCTCTGTTCTGTTCCATTGGTCTATATGTCTGTTCTTGTGCCAGTACCAGGCAGTTTTGAGAACTGTGGCTTGGTAATATAACTTGATATCTGGTATTGTGATCCCTCCAACTTCATTCTTCTTTCTCAGGATTGCTGTGGCTATTCGGGGTCTTTTTTATTCCTGATGAATTTTTGGAGTTTGTTCTAGATCCTTGAAATAAGCCGTTGGTATTTTAATGGGGTTTGCATTGAATCTATAGAATGCTTTGGGAAGTATGGACATTTTAATGATGTTTATTCTACCAATCCATGAACATGGTATGTTCTTCCATTTATTTATGTCTTCCTCTACCTCTTTTTTCAATGTCCTGTAGTTTTCCGAGCACATGTTTTTTACCTCTTAGTTAAGTTTATTCCTAGGTATCTTAATTTTTTTGGTGCAATGGTAAATGAGATTGTTTTTTTAGTTTCTCTTTCTGTGAGTTCATTATTAGAGTATAAAAAGGTCATAGATTTCTGCGTGTTAATTTTGTATCCTGCTACATTGCCGAATTCATTTATTAGGTCTAGTAGTTTTTTGTTGGAGTCTTTGGGGTTTTCTATGTATAGTATCATGTCATCTGCAAATAAGGACAGTTTTACTTCTTTTCCAATTTAGCTGCCTTTTATTTCTTTTTCTTATTTGATCGCTATGGCTAGCACTTCCAGTACTATATCGAACAGGAGTATAAAAGTGGGCATCCCTGTCTTGTTCCCGTTCTCAGGGGAAATGAGTTTACTAGTTTCTGCCCATTGAGTATGATGTTAGCTGTAGGTTTGTCATATAAGGCTTTTATTATGTTGAGGTATGATCCCTTTATCCCCACTTTGCTGAAAGTTTTTATCAAGAAAGGGTGTTGGATTTTGTCAAATGCTTTTTCTGCATTGATTGATATGATGTGATTTTTATCTCTCAATTTGCTTATGTGGTGTATCACATTTATTGATTTGCGGATATTGTACCATCCTTGCATCCCCAGAATAAATCCCATTTGGTCATGGTGTATGATCTTTTAATGTAATGCTGAATCTGATTTGATAAAATTTTGTTCAGGATTTTAGCATCTCTGTTCCTCAAGGATATTGGACTGTAGTTCTCCTTTTTTTGTGGTGTCTTTACCTGGTTTCAGAAATAGGGTAATGCTGGCCTCCTCTTGAATTTTTTGGAATAATCTGAGGAAGATAGGTTTTAGTTCTTTGATTGCTTGGTAGAACTCCCCTGTAAAGTCATCCAGACCAGGGCTTTTGTTTGCAGGAAGATTTTTGATCACTGCTTCAATTTTTTGGTACTTATCAGCCTATTGAGGTTTTTTTATTCTTGAGTTGTTCATAGTATTTTTTCATAATCATTTGTATTTCTGTGGGATCGGTTGTTACTTTACCTCTTTCATTTCTGATTTTGTTTATTTGGGTACTCTATGTTTGCATCTTGGTGAGCCTGGCTAGAGGTTCATCAATCTTGTTTATCCTTTTAAAGAACCAGCTTTTGGGATCTTTTGTATTGTTTTGTTTTGTTTTTTGTTTGTTTGTTTTTTTTTTTGGTCTCTGTCATTTATTTTTGCTCTGATCTTTATTATTTCCTTTCTTCTGCTTATGCTAGGCTTTTCTTGTTGCTCTCTTTCTAATTCTTTGAATTGTAGGGTTAGATAATTTATTCAGATTCTCGTTTTCAAAAAATTATGTTTGTAAGCCTTTTATTATGGACCTGGAGATTATTATGCTAAGCAAAATAAACCAGTCAAAGACAAATATCACATGATCTCACTTATATGTGAAATCTAATGAACAAAGTAAACTGATGAACAAAATAGGTCCAGAGACATGAATGCATGGAACAGACTGATAGATATCAGAGGGAAGGAAGTTGTGGGAGGAAAGAGAATGGCTTAGCCAAAGAACTTATATGCATAGCTCATGGACACAGTAGTGTGGTGAAGGCCTGGAGTGGGGTGGGGCCTGGATGGCAGGGAGTAAAGGGGAAAATACTGTCAATAATAAAAATAAACTTTAATAATTATATATATATATAATATTTTAGTAATAAGTATCGTTTTCAATTGTGAATAAGAAATTTTGCATAAACCAGTATTGTAGCTTAGAGACAGACGTGAAAATAAAGATGCTGGCTTGAATTTTTTCTTGTGTACATTACTGGGTAATAAGTAGTATTAATAATAAGAAACATTTTCAGGTTTCCTCATTAAAGAAGAATGTGGGTCAGTTCAGTGGCTTTCCATTTGAAAAAGGAAGTACCCAATATAAAAAGAAGGAAGAAATGTTGAAAAAGTAAGTTATTTTTATAAATATTATGTTTTGACCAATGTGTTTTTTTTAATATGTTTTTATTGATTCCTGAGAGGAAGGGAGAGGAGAAGAGAGAGAGAAACATCAAAGATTAGAGAGAATCATTGACCTCAGCTGCCTTCTGCACACCTCACACTGGGGACTGAGTCCACAACCCAGGCGTATGCCCTGTCCGGCAATCAAACCTCCTGATTCATAGGTCAATGCTTAACCACTGACTCACACTGGCTGGGCTGATCAATGTGCTTTAAATTTTATTTTTAAATATTTAATGTGCCCATCCATATGTAGATTGCTAATTCTTTGCTTTAAATGCCTAGATCTGACTTGTCAACTTAACCATTAACTTGGGATCTTCATTAGTTTTCAATAAATAATGGCTATCAAGATTATTAAATGCAGAGATGTCTTTATTTCTTGGAAGAACGATATACACAGGCAAATCATTCACAGTTGAAATTTCAGAAGGTCTAAAGGGAATATAGTGAAAACTTTTCTCTCCTGTTCTCTCCTGTGCTGTTAGCCACTCTGTTCCTCCACTTATAGGTACTAAGTTGTTTTGAAGATAATCACTTTGATAGAAACAATGTCTTTCACCATAATGCAAACAAGATGATATATTAGAGTTTATTAAATTCCCTGTAGTTTAAGAACTCTAATCTTCTTCCTCGGTATTGCCTATGAAGGTGGCAGCCATCTCCTACTTGGCATCCTTGGCTGTCTTCAGACCTCTCATGAAACCAAAGATTATCAAAAAGAAGTTCATCCGGCACCAGTCAGACCAGTATGTCAAAATTAAGTGTAACTGACGGAAACCCAGAGGCATTGACAATAGGATGTGCAAAAGATTCAAGGGCCAGATCTTGATGCCCAATATTGGTTATGGGTGCAACAAGAAAACAGAGCACATGCTTCCCAGTGTCTTTCAGATGTCTTTGGTGTTAATCTGGTGCTGCTGATGTGCAACAGATCTTATAGTGCTGAAATTGCTCACAGCATCTCCTCAAAGAACGTCAAAGCCATTGTGGAAAGAGCAGCCCAGCTGGCCATCAGAGCCACCAATTCCAATGCCAAGTTGCACAGGGAAGAAAATGAATAAATAGCCCTAGCTGGCGTGGCTCAATGGATAGAGCATCAGCCTGCGGACTGAAGGGTCCCAGGTTTGATTCTGGCCAAAGGCACATGCCTGGGTTGCAAGCTCGATCCCCAGTTGGGGGCGTGCAGGAGGCAGCCGATCAATGATTCTCTCTCATTGATGTTTCTCTCTTCTTCTCCCTTCCTCTCTAAAATCAGTAAATATATTTTTAAAAAAAAGAAAATGAATAAACAGATTATATACATATTGTATTTGTGTTAAAATTATAAAATTCTGGCATTAAAAAAAGGAATTCTTTTATTATCTATTCCTTCATTGAAACATTATAGTAGGAATGCTGAGGGGGAAATGTAATATTTAGTCACAATCAGCAGCCAGAAGAATGATCAAGTCCATGAATTTTATAGTATTGAAAACTTTTTACATTATTTTCTAATGAATTAACTTAGGTATTGTTTTACTATATTTAGAATTGGTAAATGGTGTTTTCAATTTTTAATACTCTAATCTGGTTGTGTTTGTACACTAATCAAAGATTATTAGGAGTACTTCTAAGATTTAGAGAAACGTTGGCTACTTTTTAAATGTTTGTAGCCTAGCCAGTTTGGTTAGCTATTGCATTTATATTGTGGAGATGTTTATAAACTTTCCTACATAATCAATCACCTTGGTTTCTTTTACTTTCTTTTTCAGATTTAGAAATGCCATGTTAAAAAGCATCTGTGAGGTTCTTGATTTGGAGAGATCAGGTGTAAATAGTGAACTGGTGAAGAGGATCTTGAATTTCTTAATGCATCCAAAGCCTTCTGGCAAAGTGAGGACCAATTTTTATTATTTTAGTAACACATCAATTATTTATAGCCTCTCCTTTTTAATTATTCTTTTAAAAATGGTGGCCCATGAAAAAGGTAGCTAGCTTAGATCACAATTCAATATGCAAGTGTATTTCTTGAGAAAACCAGCAAACTTCAATTTGTAGCTAGAGTTACTCTGTTGTACCTCCCATTTCGTTACGCAGATATTCTGAAAACATATACTCAAAAAGTTTAGAGTAAATACAATTAATATTTACTGCTTCATCAGAGACATTTTTCAATGAAACACCTTTTCCCTCCTGCTAATGTGTGGTTATGAGGAATATGACTAGTAGTTTGCTACCTCTGCTTGATTAGTAAGTACTAAGATGACAGCTGTTTTACCTTGGCTTTTGCATAACCCGTGAAAGAGCTAATTCATGTCTTGGTATTATGAAAATAGTTTTGACCTGTAGGCTTCTGAAAAGTTCTCAGGAAACCCCAGGGTCCACGAACCACATTTTTGAGAGGCACTTCCTTATGTTTTATCCTTCCTTATAGAAACTAACTCTTAAATTCATTTTTCTTACTTGATTCTGATTACTGCTCAATCTAATGGTATCTTAAGCTGTTTTCTATGCTATCATACACTTTTAAGAAAAACACTATAAATTCATTAGTACTAATTTTGTCTCCTGTAATAATCTTAATATTGTTCTTTTGTATAGCTACCTTAATTGTTAATCAGATTTTGTTTACAAAAAGGGATGATGCCATTGACACTGGGTTTTTTTTGTTTGGTTTTTTTTTTTTTTTGAGAGAGAGAAAGAGAGAGATACATCTCATTGGTTACCTCCCAACGTGCCCCAGCTAGGGCCAAAGATCCAGCCTGCAATCAAGGTACTTGCCCTTGACTGGAATCGAACCCATGACTCTTCAGTCAAAGAGCCTCACATTCTATCCACTGAGTCAAACTGGCTAGGGCAGCCGTGGGCAAACTACAGCCCACGGGCTGGATCCGGCCTGTTTGAAATGAATAAAACTATTGAAAAAAAAGGCCGTACCCTTTTATGTAATGATGTTTACTTTGAATTTATATTAGTTCACACAAACACTCCATCCATGCTTTTGTTCCGGCCCTCCGGTCCAGTTTAAGAACCCATTGTGGCCCTCGAGTCAAAAAGTTTGCCCACCCCTGGGCTAGGGCAACACTGGATTTTGATTAATAGATTCAACTAATTTTAAAACTAATATAGGAAAGTTCTAAAGCATTTATTATTATTACTATTTTTTTTAATTAAAATCTTATTTTTGGCAGTTGCATTTTCTTGATTGGTTACTTGAATAATTTAACATTCAAATTAAATTTTTCATTTTCCTGTATAGGTTTATTCAGTACCCATTCCAATCCTCATATTACTAATTCCATGTACATATTATAATCTCACTACCTGCATCTGATTCCTGAGTTGAGGAAGTAAGGGTTGTCATATTTTTCTATTATACTTGAGTTCTGGATTTCAGATAGCGAGTAGTGAGAGTTTAGACAGTTATCTTTTCTCCAGACAAAGAATCAGAGAATTTATCTAAATGGATTTGTTTCCTGGTAATGGTAAGAGTTCACATAACAAGGATATCTATATTCATTCAAGGAATTTTCTTATAGAGAACTCCTCTGACAAATAAATTTGGTTCACTAACTTAAAATTCTGGAATGACCTAGATTGGCTGCTTCCCCGTCTGCTTTTTGAAGGGTAGGTTCTTTGATCAAGTTAGAGGCTATTCTGTACATTGTAGATTACCTGAAAACACTAAGTTACATAAGTAGCCACTTTTAAAAAAATTTTGTGCAGGTGAAAGTGACCCCTAAGACTGGAAGTTTCTGGGAGAGAAGGGAGCTTTGAGGGTCTGCTAGTTTCATAAAAAAATACTGCCTAAAGTTATCACTAACATTTATACAATTATGTATCTTTTTAAAAATATTTTATTTATTTTTTTACAGAGAGAAAGGGAGAGGGATAGAGAGTGAGAAACATCAATAAGAGAGAAACATCGATCAGCTGTCTCCTGCACACTCCCCACTGGGGATGTGCCCGCAACCAAGGTACATGCCCTTGACTGGAATCGAACCTGGGACCCTTGAGTCCGCAGGCCGATGCTCTATCCATTGAGCCAAACTGGTTAGGGCTACAATTATGTATCTTAAGGTTATATGGAATTTTTCTTAATGTTTCTGTTTATTGCAGAAAATAACAGACAAAAATAAAAACAAGAGATACCCATCATTTTCAGAAATAAGTAATTTTTAAAAGATAAGTAAGTTTATCTTTTCAGATCTTTTTGCAGGGTTATTTATGGTTTTCAATTTTAGAAGTTAGCAAATTCACCTCTAAGAAAGCACTTAAAAGTTAAATTTGTTGTTTACTATAATACTTTTTTTCACATGATCTTTTCATTTTAAATGTGTGTGCTTTAATTGAATATCAAAGTAAGAGCAGTACACTGATTTTGTGGTTCTTAATTTATCAGTTAACACATTCAGTACTTACTACATATTTACAATCATGTGAGAATATAATCCTGATGTTATTGAAAGTAGTGCCCAGAGGTAATATGAATATAAACTACATAGTTCATAAATTCAGGGTGTATAAAGTGAAATTTCATTTACTTCATGGATGACTCTTCCCAGTCCTTTCATTGGAGGGTCCCCTAAAACAGGAAGCTTCTCTGACAGCAGCTGATGTTTATAGGAATGAAATACTAGTAAATTATAAGTCTGATTCAAAGTACTAATTTGATAAAGTGTAAATAACTGTTTGAGTTTAACATGGTGTGTACTTGGGCTTCTAGTCCCATGTCAGAACATAGAATGCATATTTAAACATTTGTGAAGAGTCTCTTGCCTAGGTGTTTAGAATACAAATGAAAAGGTATTGGTAATTCAGACAAAAAAAGATTAATTTGACACATTGTTCAAGATAAATTATTCTCTAAAGCTGCGAAGCTTGGAATTATACCTTGAGACAAACAAGAATTGAGTTGAGAAGTAGGTCTCAGAAATAGTTGATTGACTTGGAAATACCTCATTGGTGTTTATTTTATTTTATGCAGCCATTGCCAAAATCTAAAAAAACTTCTAGTAAAGGCAACAAAAAGGAACGGAACAGTTCTGGAATGGCAAGGAAAGCAAAGCGAACCAAATGTCCTGAGATTCTGTCAGATGAATCTAGCAGTGATGAAGAGGAAAAGAAAAACAAAGAAGAGTCTTCAGAGGATGAAGATAAAGAAAGTGAAGAGGAGGTAACATTTTAGTTTTTTTTGTTTTTTCATTTCTTTTCCTGGGGAGAGTTAAATATTCCTGCTATGTAATAGGAATAGCCAGAAAATAGATTCTAGGAACCATCAGTTCCATATTAGATGCTGTAAATTCTGAAGACATGTAGTTCAGTGTAAACCTTTTCTTTCCCTTTAACAAGCTTTTAGTTTTGTTGATATGCCAGAGTATAAAAGTTGGAAAAGAGTGAGGTTAGTATGGAACTGAATTTGAGCCTGGGCCTTGACTAGAGTAGGTCAAATGGGAAGAGAAGGCACAGGGGGAGGGGTACATATCCTGAACAGGAACACACGGGAGCAGATTTTTTGAGAATTTTCTTCAAAGTATATTAGTATATTACGATGATCTTCAACCATTTTATTCTGTTTCACACACAAAACCAGGGGTTTAAGGACCACCATTTTTTCTCAACTTGTTGGGGATTATTTAATGAGAATAACAGGATTTGAAGTTTGATTGGTGGACACGTTTTGTATCACTTAGGAATACCTGCCATTTTCCTTTACTTATAAATCTTTGTAAATGTTGAATATTTTTAGTTTTCAAAGTGAAACTTCAGGAAGGGAAAAGGTGCTGAACCATTTAAAGGGTTAACATTTCCCTTTCCTTTTTGTGTCTCTTCAGTCAAGTAGATGAGAAATAGGAAGTGATTTTCTATTGTTAATAGCCTTTTCGTAGACTTCACTGGTCAGAACTTGCTCTATAAGTTGGGTAATGTACTTGGTCTTAGTTAGGATTTGATTAATGTGGCTTGACATTTTGGGCCAAAATGATTCTTCATTGTAGAGGACTGTCTTGTGTATTATAGAACATTTGACCACTAGGTGCCAGTAGCACACTTCCCCAATGTCCAGTTGTGAAAACCAAAAATGTCTCCAGACTTTGCCAAGTGTCTCCTGGGGGCGGCAAAATCACCTCCAGTTGATTCTAGAGGGAGTAAAGATGTTGTGAACTCTGGTTTTATATGTGTGTATCTTGTATAAATTTGCCTTTAGGTATTTAAAATCCATGCTTGTTTTAATGTCAATTATAAAGACTCCAATAAAGCTAAGTTTGAAATGTTGCATAATTGAAAGAATATTACAAAGCCAGCAGTTGTCTCATAAATATTTATATATAAAAGGCTAAGTTGACTCATGCATGCGTGATACATATAAAGCTCTCGCACCAGTCGCATGTGTGTGTGTTGATCTGTCATTGTCGATGGTGAATTTGGTTGACACTTCTATTATTGAGAAAGGGTGAATTGCGATTTTAAACTATTTCTTCTAATTAATTTACTTTCAATGTGCACGAATCCGTGCACCGGGACACTAGTCTTAATATATTTTTGGTGTAAAGCAAGATGAGTAATCTGAGCATTAAGGTTTTTTTATAACTGATTTTAGGAAAATATGGGAGAAAAATGTTTGTTTATATGTGAATATGCAATAATGCCAATTTTGCAGTAATAGTGTTATTCCTCATTCAACAAATTTTTGGTAATCTACTGTGTGTATTCACTGTGCTTCCCCTAAAACCTTTTTAAAGGTAGAGTTAAAGCATGAAAAGTTGTCATAGACTATAAACATCTGATTTTTTTTTTGTAGAGGCACTATGATTATGAACATGGGCTTTGGAAACTATCTGGGTTCAAATCCCAGTATTGATTTAAAAAAAAAAAAAGTTCCTTCATTTCGACATATATACATACGTGCTTTATGTTTTTTATTATTTATTTACCACAAATAAAGGTCAGGAATTGTTACATTTCTTTTAAATTTTTTTACTGTTTCACTTCATTATTGCTGTGTATGTGCTCCATGTGAGTGATGTGGGTGCTTATGTAGGTGGGTTCCAACTTACGGCAAAAATCGCATTACATTGCGCAGTAGGAACAGATCTCCGACGTAACCTGAGGACCTACTGTATGCTAAGTGTCCGTCCTACCAGTCGCTATGACATGCACTGACCACCAGGGGGGCAGACGCTCAACATAGAGAAATGGCATTGCGGACCTGATGCCCGCAAAGCAACACTCAACTTCCCCCATGTGGGACCCAGGCCCCGCCACCACCCTGGAGTGACACCCCACCAAATCGCAGCCAATGCTGCCGAGATCCCATGGCACAAAATGTGGTCCACAACCCAGCCCAGAAACAGTGGCAGTGGGTGCCGGGTAATGATGTCATGTAGTAATGCCCAGCTTTCTCTCCCTAGCGACTAGCTTCCTTGGAGTTTCTTCAGCTCAGGAACAAGACTTGCTTTAAAGCCAGGTGGAAACATTTTACACTTTAACCAAATGTCTGTGAAATGTTTTCCCGTGCCTTATCTCATTTGATCTTCATAGAATTCCTGGAGTAGGTAAATAGGAGACTCGGTAGAATCCTATTTTCTTTTCATTAGCTGGAAAATGGAGATTTAGAAAGCTTAGAAACTTGACCTGACTGAAACAAAGAAATGGTGGACCTTGAAAACAACTTCAGGTTTTCTCACTGCACAGAATATAATCCAACACTGCCGCAATTAAATATTTTAACCTTTGTTCTCCCTTGTGATCTATAATAATAATCTGCTTTGTGTTGATATTTATTGCTCTGTTGCTGACAATTACCTGAAAGAGAAGTTGGGATGCTTCACCACTGGGCTGGGCTGGAAAAAGTTTAGCTACTAGTAAATCAAAAAGCAGGTCTAATTAAGCAAGTTTAGTGTGTGTGTGTGTGTGTGTGTGTGTGTGTGTGTATGTAAAAGGCTAAGTTGACTTGCACATGGACGATACATACAAAGCTCTCGCTGGCGCCAATCGCACGCGTGTGTTTTGATCTGTCGTCGATTGTGAATTTGGTTGACACTTCTATTATAGAAAAAGGGTGAAAAGCAATATTAAAATATTCTAATTAATTTCCTTTCATTGTGCACAAATTCATGTACCAGGCCTCTAGCTGTTTTATAAAAGCTGTTTTAAACTTCTTTATCATCTCAGCTCTGGGCCATTTGCAGAAGAGCAGTTTGGAACCAGGAAGAAACTGGTAGATGAAGTTTCTTTAAAATGAGAGAATATAAAAATGACAGGTTTAGTTTTTTTTGTTTTTTGTTTTTCCTATAAACTTACTCTGAAAATGAACTGGTTCCCATATTGGATTAGCATCTTTAGGGAAATTCTGCTAAAGTGAACCAGTGAGATTAAATCATATTCGGGCAGGCCTTTCACAGATATTAGGTGTTAGGCACAGAGAAATCACTGGAGAATACAGAGAAAAGGGAGAAGCAGTGCTTTCCAGATTGGAGAAAATGAGTATTATAAATTTTTTAGACCCTTAAAGACATACTTAACACCCCCCCCCCATTTTATCTATTATTTCTGTAGTTTTTGTTCCCTAGTGTTTTTCTAACACTCTTATCTGTAGAAAAAATGAAACTGTATTTTTACTTTGTGAGTATTGAGAATGTATCTGAATATTCTAATATGAGTGAGGAATGTCTTCAGCTATAAATACTTTAAAAAGCCCACTAATATGTCCAACAAAACAGAAGTTTCTTTTTCTTTCATGGCAAGAAGTCCACAGATAAGCAGTTATTGGCCAGCATACCATCCCAAGATAAAGGTATCATTTTTCTTCCTGAGCCATCATCTTTATATGTGGCATTTAACCTTCCTATCTAATAAAAGAGAAACATGGTAATTAGCCATACGTCCACTACCCTCCCCATTGGCTAATCAGGGTGATATGCAAATTAACTGCCAGCCAAGATGGCGGCCAGCAGCGAGGCAGCTTGAAGCTACTAACATGAGGCTTCCTTGCTTCAGGGACGGAGGACTCCAACGTTCCCCGCCTGCCTTGCTAGCCTCTGAGCTTTCAGTTTGAAACA